GCGGTGATTTGTTGATAGCTCTGTGCTTCTCTTAAAGCGAATAACCATTACAGCACGACTATCGAATCGATAATCACTAACTGATTACTTCTGTGCACAAGCTTCCGTGTAACAGGTATGACGATGCACTCTTCGATGCGCCAAGAAGGTATTCATTTTGAACAGCCCGTTATTCGCATAAAAACGCAACAAGCTCATGTCGTTATTGTTGAGGTCGTTACGATCGTTTTTTTCAGTCACGCCTTTCCACATTCCAGCATCTATTCCAACATGCGCATTGAAATTACTCATCAGAATGAAGGACTCTGCAATCGGTACGTTGTCTAGAGAACATTCCACTTCCTTAAGGAAGGACTCATACTACCCTCTAAACTAGGCGCATATATCTGTAACAAAGTCAGTGCTTTCTCTTGGTGTAGCTTCAGTCGGAGGATCGCCACCCTTCCGCCGACAGGCTTCCATTCAGTGATTCTATTAGCCAGGTTGGGTTCTTCCAGAACAAACACCGGTCTGAGTGCGTGTCGTGATGTAGACACCGAAGTAGTATAGTTTTTACCCGCAGTGGTTCAGAATTCCATTGCTTTAGCGCTTGGTTGACGGGAGTTCAACTATCGAGTCGGTGCCTTGCAGCCTCATCACCTCGCTTGTCGTCTTTCCTTGTGGGTAAGAATATGTTTCAATTTCAGACTGTAATCTCCCACCAGTATTGTCGTTCTATTCTGTTCTCTTCTGGCCTGCCATGATGACATCGCGCTGTTTGCTTCGCCGTTCTGAAGGGGTGATGACTCTGCTGTTTATTTAAACGTTTGTCGTCGTTACGTCATTCTTCTTCAACTATTGATTTTCTTTAACCTCCCCCCTCTGCCAGAGAGCGAAGAGCGGTTTTAATCGCTTCATTGTCGCAGCCCTCTCAGTTCTTTAAGGGCCTGCTCGGCGCTTGGTAACCCGGCGGGACCAACCCGGTAGAACTTTTAACGCGGCAATACCAAAATGGCAGATAATTATGTTTTACGGATACTTTTCCACTCTCTCCAACACTCCTCCTTTCCTATTCAGGCTTGGCCTGCACCAACGGAGTTGTTCCACACTCATCCAAGAGTATAATTTATTGAGAGTGACATCAGTTATGGCAGTAATAGGCATAGACAACTGTGGCGATGCGAGAGAATTTAAGACTTCATCATAGTGATCGTCGACACCGAGACAAAGTGAAGCTGTTAGTCAAGTAGTCTCATCACATTTCCCCGGCGAAGATCGAACTTGCAACTGTTACGTTGGCTCCATTGACATTTCCATGGCATGATTCATAGCTTAATCGGCAATCGTGTTGGTGAGCAACCAATCTGGTCAAGCACCAACCTACCCAGTACTTTGGTTTTGTTTCTTGTTTATTTTTGATGATGGCTGATGCCAATTGGGACAAAGCGCTGAAATTGTTATAAATAAAGAAATATTCTTGCTTCTTAGAATACGTATCACTTTTTCAATAATATTATGTAGCAAAATTACTACAACTATGGTGATCTACTCCATGGTGCAAAGTTTCCATCCTTTCACTCTATCTAGAAAGCTCACACTACGCCATCCTGCGCATATCGCTGACGGCTGCTGCACTTTGATCTGTTAATGGTGACCTGCATGCAGAACTACCGTCATTTTGTCTGAGAACATCATATACATAAAGCTTTTAAATTTTATTGACTGAAATCATAACAACGATGGTGCAACCGAAATAGGAGAATCATGCTCGGTCTAAACAGTGTTTCTAAACTATTCTGCGTTTGTTTCCCTTTATACTTGCGGATCCATAAGCAGGTATACAGTTGCTGTCATTGCGTATGTACAGGTTGTGAGTTAAATTAAAACAGAAATTGGTTTAGGTATGTTTTCTCGTCATATATTAAGTATTGGCTTTGCATATGATGTTTTCTGTGGATAATCGTTTGTTTTAATTGGCATTGAATACATACCCAAGTTTCGATCGTTTTTAACCAAGATGGAAGACTGTAGTTTCGGAATTCTGTTGTGTGATAAGTTAAGTGTAAAATTTATCAAGTCTTCATAACTTCTTGCGCACGATGCCAAAGAATTCAATAGTTAGGCGATCTCGGATTAATGAGCTATTCCTCTGATCAACATGACGATTAAAGCTGACAGTAAGGAGAGTCTGGTGAAAGGTACTGCGGTCAAACTCACTCACCCATCATTTTAACTTTTGTTTTTCATACGCTAACTCACCCAGCTAGAGTGTGTCGCTTCTGCTT